GGATACTTTGCGGTTGGGCAGTGTAGGGAATCTCTGCGGTTGGGCACTGCGGGGATACTCTGTGGTTGGGCACTGCAGGGATACTCTGCAGTTGGGCAATGCAGGGATACTTTGCGGTTGGGCAGTGTAAGGAATCTCTGCGGTTGGGCACTGCGGGGATACTCTGTGGTTGGGCACTGCAGGGATACTCTGCAGTTGGGCACTGCAGGGATACTTGGTGGTTGGTCACTATAAAGTCAGCTTCCAGTCGGGCGAGGACAACATCTACTTCAAAATCTAACAACCCCACTGCGAGGGTGGGGAATAACCTAGGAGACGTACAGCAGCCCTGTACACCCCAGACCCTAAACTCATCCGCAGCGAATCTAGCCAGACTTTGCACAGCCTACTTCCCGAGTGCGTAGTTGCGAGAGTTACGAGCTGCCAACTCTCATATGAAGAGCTCTTCCAGCACACCAACTCAAACCTGGAACCAGGCCCGACCCAGCAACTAGTGACTGGAGTCTCATGGGGGTAGCTACGTAGTCAGTTAGTTCAGCCAAGTCTCAGACTCTTCCGCTGCTGCCTTCCTTGTTTTTAACACGCTTCGTCCCTCCTCACGGGCTCAGGGTGGTGAAGGGTTACAAAGCGAATATGGAAAAGTAAATGGAGACTGCCTGCAGTGTTGATACTGGTAACCGTGAATGTCCGAGAATGAACTGTTCTTTCTTATCAGACCGTCAGCTGCCATTAACAGCCGTTTGCTCCTGACTAGTACTTGGATGGTCTTAAGGGGGACTTAGCAAGCAGGTTAGTACGGGGGATAACTTGGGTTACTCTATGGTTGTTGGTCCTCCTGACCGCCCCTGACCCTCCGAAAAGCCTCACCATTTCTTTACCAAGGCTTGGTAATTCTCAGACTCAAGCCTGCAAACAAGCTTGAACCAAATCTGGACACAAACCCCAATTCACTCCATCCCGTAGCCCAAAACAGGATCCCGTGGCGACCCAACAGAAGCATCTCGACTCTCCTTTGGAGTGCCGCCGATCAGTACAGATCTACGACAGGAACCTGGCATGGCTGTACCATGCTGTAGGCTTCTTGTGCATGGTCCGTTTGGGGTTGAAAAAAGCTTTCCTTGCGGACTGCAGGCTCGCAAACAATGGAGTGTGACCTGTTCACCACAGACTCGATTAGAGATTGAGCATGATGCCTTTTGGACAAGGATGAAGCGAAAACAACATGGGCCTGGGGACTGTGTATGAGAGGATCATACCCAGAGCAAGCAAGACTTAGCAGAAATCAAAGACTAACAATCCTAATGCCAACAGCTGGGTTGCTGTTAGGGAACTTATTTCAAGTTACCACAGTAGGGGCAAATATTAATAGCGCCATATACCCATTATGGTAACTTAGAATAAGTTCCTTAACAGCAACCCAGACAACCAACTCACAAGGCACACAGATGACGGAGCCCAAAGATCACGCTGCATATGATCATCAGGCCAAGCAGATACCTCAACTGTTCTTGAGGTCATGGCAACGTTGATATCATATCCGCTCCGGAAAAGTGCCTGGGCAAAAGGTGCCAGGCCTTTCTGGAGCTTCCTTCCAAACCCTGTACACAAGCTCCCTGCCACTCCCGGTAAGCCTTATCAATGTTGCCAACACTCGGCAACTACTTGCAATCCTAAGCCCTTAGCCTGTCGAGCCCTGAAGCTTGACAGTCGACACCATAAACCATACGTGATCCTTAACCCATAAGCCCAGACACATGCAAAGCGCGTGCTCAGGAGATTTCCACTTCCCTGGAGTGACTGCAATGCTGACCTGGGTCTGGCATGTAGGTTGTTGAATGCTTGTTTCTGTTGGGTAGTTGCCAAATGAAGAGGTTCATGTTGAAAGAGATTGCTTAACGGGCGGTTCTCATTCTATAAGCAGTTGTTTTGAGCTTTAGGAGTTATAACTTTCTAAAATGAAGGGCCTCTGATTAAACGTTCGGTCTTGGAAAATACGTCTCAGGCTTACCTCATGCCGAAGCCCAAAGAGGGCCCAGATACTGCTGAACAGCCTGGCGACCATATAAGCCATGATGAAGGCCACGCTGATCAGAAACATGGCCAGTGCTTGGCAAGCGACCACTACATGCCTGCAGCACGGCAGACTCCACCAGCGAATGCTAGCTTTTCCTTAGCTCTGCTTAGCAACCTTGCAGCAATCTAAGCGAGACCCTGTCTGAAATTAGACAAAAGCATCAACGTTGTCGAAAAGAACATGCCCAGTTTCCCAGAAGCAGAAGGCAACGCAAGAAAACAGGCATCCAAAATAACATGTAAAGCGCCAGGCCAAAGTTTCTGATAGGGCTTTCCCGAGGCCACAAGAGCACAACTCTCCGACCCTCATAGGCAATGAAATCATACATAAACGGGAAAGAGCCCATGGCAGCGGCAGAGATCAGCGGCCGCATCAGCATACCGCTGTGCGTGAAAGCCTGCTCGACTGATGGTCTCAAATGTTTGTCCAAATGGCGTTTGAAGGCGCGTTGGATCTGTTCTTCGTTGCCTATCTCTGCCTGGGCATGTCCGGACCACATCTGCAATACACCGTAGATGAGTTGCCGGTCGCACTGGATCTGTGCTCCATTTGAAGGATGCAAATGGTTATTGGAGCAGCAGAAACATTGTGCGGTCCGGATGTCGAAGTCTTGCAGTTGTCCGGGCAATTGAGCCATATCGTGCAACATCTGATTCAGGAGATAGAACAAGGGCGGGTAGAGGATACCAATCTGAAGCAAAATCAGCAAAGCTAAGTTGATCTTTCCGCTTGTATGATTCCAATTGAAAGCGTCTGAGCCGTATCTCTGGCCCAGAAGGAAGGACAGCCATGTTGTTGCCACAGACACGTAGGTAAGAAGCCAAATGATGGAGATCTGCCTCTCTTCCAGAAAACGTCTGACAAACAGGGCTCAACAAATGTGCTCTGAAGATTGAAGGAAGAAAGCTAACAAGTTTGAAGGTCTAAGTTGCACGGGCAAGAACTTGATTCGATGAGCTTCTTTGCGCCGCATAAGGAAGCAAGCGATTTCGTACCTAGCAGGCAGAACACGAGCTATTCGGGGTGGTGAGGAATCAGTGTTAGGAACAGTTCGTTGCTGTACGATAGAGACAAAAGCGTGCAGGGTCTCGTTTTTACTGTCCAATCTTTTTATGGTAGCCTCTGAACATTGGAGACGTCTACATGCACACCAATAGTTGAGGCTTCCTCGCATGTGTACTCCCACATGCCGAAGCTCTGAACCTTTTTTCTACCGCTGGAGAACAAGAAAATTGCATGGGGACTTGTTTGAGTTGAGTGGAAATTGATGCCAGCATGATTTAAGCCACTACTCAGGCAACATCCCGGATTCCGTTCTAGCAGACTTCAGGGACTTTCCACACTCCGCACTGGTGCAATCAAGCGACGTGCACCACAACCTACTGAAATATTGCGGCGACCACAAGACGATGAGGTCATCGGATTTGTTTAGGAAGGAAGCCAGGCCATAGATACATTGAGATTTCGTCTCCAAATCGTTTTGAGGTATGCACAAGCCTTGGCCAGTCTTGGAGCCCGAGTACTAGAGTACATGAGATGTTGCTGACTGTCCATGCGCCCCAAAAACAACAAAGCATCTACTTGAGTCCAGAGGCGATCAAGAAAACTTAAACGCGGCTGCCACAACTCGCGCAGGTGCTGCCAGAATAGCCTGGGTTCCCAAGGTGTCACAAGAAAACAGGTGCGGGTTCTTTTGATGCCCATCTGGAAGTAGCTCAGGTTCATTTTGTAGCAACGAGGGATGGAGATGGAAGACTCCCACCCCGTCTCGAACCAAGACCCTACATAACAAAGTATGCTAAGTTTGTGTTTCAGGGACACTCAAAGACGGAAGTGCTTGCCTACAGAACAGACCAAAACTCAAGACCCTAAACCTCTAAACCCTACAACTCTAAACCCTAAATCAAATTCTAACTGTTTGCGCCAGTTACAGCATAAAAATTCCGCTCGCATGCCCGAAGACCGTCCACCAGGCAGTGCGGGGCAAGAGCCATCCGTCTGGCATGTCTTTTCTCCTAGGGTTTAGGGTGTAGAATTTAGGGCTCAGGCTGTTTTGGGCTTGGGGCTTCAAGTCCAAGGTGCTCAGATTTAGAGCTCAGGAGTTGATGGGGGATTCAATGATTTTTCTGTAAAGAAAACGGGTTCCTACTCAGTGTCAGTTTTTTATTGCCAAAACCGACTACTTCCTCAGTGTTCACTGCCAAAATGTGGCACTCGGTCCTTTCACTTCGGGCCGCCCCTTGTATACAAGTTGCTGGGTGAGGGGAAATCCCTGAAGCTTATGCATCCGCCACTGTTGAAAAAAAAGCTGGAATCAGAACAAAACCTGAGTGACGTTCAGGGGAACCCGCATGCCTCTTCTCGACATTCACTTTCTGCTCAGTTTGAGAAGAGAACAAACTTGGGAAACGCTCCAATAATTGAAATGTACGCAAGAGAATCCTTCGTGCTTCTCAACCATGGCATGTCTATGTATGCTAATTTGCGCAGTGATGCAACGAAGTTTGTTTCTCTCAATGCCTCCTCTACTGGCTGACAGTGGGGTTGACACAAAAAGAAACTGACCAACAGACTGTATGACCATGCGGCCATTACACCAATGCCTCAATAACTGTGGCTGGGTGATTTAACGATCTACCGGTCCAAGCTTGTAATCTAATTGGTACTGCTGGGACGAGGTCAGCTAGATCTGTAGAGTGTATTTCGAAAATGAAGCGCGGCGGCGGCAACTGTCTTATTACAGCTGTTGTCTTCCCTCAGGTTTGCAGCTAGGGCGTTGGTAGCTTCGAGGGTGGGTTGCAGTTGAGGAGTCAAGGGTCCGGGGAGCAAACTCTTTGAAGAACCTGTTCGAATCTTGCTATGATTCTCTGGGGGTAGCTTTGTTAGTCATGCAGGGGAATCTTTTGTGTTTTCAATGCTTACATTCTGATTCCATGTGCTTAAGGATCCAAGACAAAGACTGGGATGCAGAAAAGTAGCATGTCACTTACTGAACAGCCAAACCCATGACCCAAGTTTTCAATCCCGAGGCCCAAAAGCCTTCTGAACACTGAACCCTAAGCCACGCCGGGTTGCCATCCTCCGAGGACCCCCAGAGCAATGCTTAGGAGACATGTTGCCTTGGCTGCTTGAAGGGCCCAGGGAAAGAGGTTAAGGCTGGGGAGGAAGGCTTACTATTGTCCATCATGGGCTCAGAAATTAGCATGGTTTGGTCCCATCCACTACTGTCATGGTAGGGGGTGTGTGACGATCCCAGTTTTGGGGAAACTCTCCTCAGTTCTCACTCCCAAAAGCTTGCCCATGATCAAGTATGATTCGGCCTCAGCATCCTCCTAGCGTCGCCAAGTTGCTGTTGCAGCCGCTCTGCTGTTGAAGTAAATCAGAACGGAGAGATATTTCAGCCACCTGACGGGTTTGAAAGCTTCAAGGAGGCGTGCAAGGTCTTCTCCTGCTGTGCTTTCAGGAAACAAGGGGAACGAAGTAATCTTATCTAAGTTCTGGTTCCATCGTTCAAATAATTACAGCTACTGCCTTCTTTTCACAGTCTTTTAATCCTGGATACGGATACTGGTAGCTGGTCATTTTCCTAGGTGCCCCATACAACACTCCGAAAATTCACATCGTTGGAAACGGCTGCAGCCCTGCACTCTGAACTCCGCATACATAGTCACTGCAAAGTCCTTGAACAATCCTGAAGCATATCATGTATTTCTGGTCTGCAACCCTCTATCCCCATGCAGCCGCTTGTTGGAAAATCTCACCTGGAGGTTCTCCAGTCGTGACCTCAGCTGTTCAGCTTGGGGCTAAGCCCTAAATGGTCTAGAGATAGTTCTTCAGGTGGGGGCTGTGCATCTTATAGCACTGGGCTGATCCTTAACCTTGGGACCTCCCCTGCGGCTAGGAGCTTCACAATCTGAAAGCCCTTGGGGTCTAGAGATAGTATCCGCACAATGGAACATCACATGGAAACGAAAATGCCAAATCAGGTGGAATGATCAAACTGGCGACTGAAGAAGAACTTATAGCGTTCTGTCTGCCTGGAGAATTCGGGCCTCCATTCTGGCGGTTCCGGTCCACTGGACCTTAAGGCCGTAAGGAGGGGATATGAAGGGTTGTATAGCAACAGTGGAAAAGAAAATGGAAGCTACCCTATCCCGTAGGGTTTAGGGTCAGGGGCACTTAGTATGTAGGTTACTAAGGGGATAGCTAGGGTTACTAAGGCGGTATGAACCTGCTGATTGAGCCGCCCTGACCCTCCAAGGAAATCTTACCCTTAGAAGCTTCAAGGTTAGTGTGCAAGCTTCTTGACAAACCTGCACAGGCCATGACTACGGTCGAATAGCATGGGCAACATAGAGGTGAGGGTTTGGGTTCTCCTCAATGACGCGATGTAGCTTCTGCATGACCAAACAACTTGAAATCAAAAAAGTGAGCTTTCCGACCTGCACTAGACTCAACCTCAGGACCCCCAAAAGTAAAGCTTTTGTTGAATTGGAGAAGTGAGAAGCTGTTGCCATTCCTTCCCAAAGCGCCTCAAGACCTAAACTGTTCAGTGATCACTGAGAAACACATGTTGTCTGGAGTATTGATATGAAATCCAGAAGCCAAGACTCAGAAACCAAATAAAGACTTCTAAAGGGCCTCAAGACGTTGCCCAACGGCGCTCCTCGAACTAGCTCTGGCTCCAATTCAACCAATAAATCTTCCGTTTTCCTGGATGGGGTATCAAGATATCTGCTTACCAACTTTCTGGACATTAACCGTTATCCTCCTTTACCTGTTGACTACCAGGCCTTGAACGTGCTGATACCTCAGACATGTCGTCGATCGGACCCATTGTTTCGAGATCTGTATCTTCCGGACTGCCTGGCCTCGCTCCATTGGTAGAGTGCCTTTGCGCACACGATACCTCGGGGCCATTCCCATAACCCCCATTGCCTAAAGTTTATGGGTTTTACCACGGCAACTGAAGGTAATTGGGGTTACAAGTCAGCTTTAGGGTTTGGGTTGCATGTAGCTCAGGCTTATAGGGCTCAGGTTGACTGTAATTACCACGCTGTACGCTGAAACCCTCATCCATGGGTAAACCCTCAAACGTAAACCCCTCAGCCTGTAAACCTTGAACCCTTACCCATGGGATGCCTCCAGACCAACCCAAAACTCGGATTCAGAACGCTGGCAGCACGATCCTTCGGGCCCGGCGTCTGATTCGGAAACCGCCACGCATGGCATGCTATTTTGGCTCCAGGATTCTTGGATCTGGTGCCCCTCCCCCTACACATGATCTGTTCTTGGATCCCAAAGTTGTCTTGGGGTGTGTGCTTTATGGGCTCTGCTCGGGTAGGCACTGAGGCAGGCATGTGAATCTTGCACGCTGCACCTGGAAACTTGGACACTGAGAATTGCTACGTTGCGACTGGCCTTCTCGTTCTGCCCCCTTCCTACCACTCCTACGACGTGTTTCCACCAATGGAGCATTGGCAGTGCCAAGCCGAAGTGCGAGCGAGTCCTGTCTTCATATCGCAATGTCCGCAGCATGACCCGTTACAACCCCATCTCAAAAGCATCTCAAGAGTCACAAGCTGTCGGCACTACATGATGATTGGAGGATGATTGGAGGGACTGCGGACTTGAGAGGCATGAAGTGGGAGAGGGCGCGGGTAGGGACTACTGGGGGGTCAGGGGGACTTAGCAAGTAGGTGAATAAGCCCTATAAACCATACAGTAACCCTAGAAACGCCTGCCTAACCTGCTTACCAAGTCTTCCTGACCCTGCACCTTATCTGACACAGGAGTTTCCATTCTCTTTTCCAGTATTGCTAAGCCCCCCATAAGACCTTATTTTGAGGTGTAGGCCGTAGGCCCCAGGCTCAGTCAACTCCCCGCTTGGGACATGGTACGCGGATGACGTGTAAGGTTTGGGGATTTTCAATGACGTAGCTGTTGTGCTGTTGTGTTCAGGAATCATGCTGAAGGGAGTCTTGAGGTGTAGCGGTTGTGGTCATAGCAATTTGCTGCTTTTGGGCTGCATAAGTTCCATAATTTGCGAAACCAACCTTGCAGGGAGCTAACTATGCTTTAGGTCCTGCCCCCACCCATTAATTGTCTAGAATAGGGGTCTATTAAGGGCTCTAGATAAAAATCAATGAGTGGGGGGAGTGTTCCAAGTACACTTGGCATGTGCTGAAGAGACTTCTCTCACATTCTGTAACACTCTCGCGTCCATAGTTATCATCCCTTTTTAGAGAAACAACAATTTTCCAGGCGCCCAAGGTGAACCCCAAATTGCAGGTCAGGAAGAACCTGGAGAGGGAGTCTGCCTGAAAAAGCTGGGGCCTTGGGTCTTTCCTAGTCACAAGCCCTGGTCAGAAATCTGCTTCAGCTAGCAAGTGTGCCAGGTCAAACATCTTGGCAGCTGGATAAGGCCAGCCTACAGTATTCAAATTGAGTACACCGAATCGTACTTCTACCACCCCAGGCAAAATCAAACTTCTGTTGTTTGTAGTATCTTCTTTTGTTGTTCAACGGTTCCTGGGTTGTACCCCTGAGGTCAGATTTCGCCAATATGGCTCTAATATAGCCCTTACACGAGCCGGTGCAGTCCCATAGGGTCCCTTAAAAAAGGATGCAAAAAACCATGGGTACAACTCGAGGGGTACAAGCCTGAGACCTTCGAGTGTTGTGTTCCCTGTAAGCTCCATAGTTCAAGCAGGCAACGAGCGATGCAGTAGCAAGAAAAAAACCAGAGATCTTTGCTAACCAAGGACACGTCTGGTCAGAATTGATCCATCATCCCCATCCCTTCCAGCATGCACTCACTTCCACACGCCCGACAATCCCTAACGAGATCAATGCTTGGGGCGGGAGTCCTGATTGAAGTGCCTACTGTAGTTGACGTGAGGGTCCCTAGGAAACACCCACCTAGACTCGAAAAGTCATACAGACACCTGTTTTGCAAAGGCGCCTTCCTCATCATCAGCTCCCTTGAGGACGGGGCTGTCTCTT